AAAAAAGATTGCTGGGTGAGGAAGAAGAACCTTCATTCAACTGAAGGAATTCACACCTACCTGAGCCAAGATGCTCTGAACTGAAACAAGGTGGTTAACCTTCCTCTGCGGGCGGCAACACCATTTCGTACTGAAGGAGGCTTGGGTGAGGTGGGCACTAATTAAGCCACTAATTAAACCATTAAGATGGTTCTCAAACTTGGTTTTACCAAAGATACTCAAAAGCCCAAGAGACTGGAATATGCACTTTTTTTTTTTGAAGAAGTATCTTAGAAGTATAGAAAAGAGGGTCAGATCCACAGGGGGGTAGGGTTGGGAGGGGCTCCTATGGGTTTTTTTCACCAAGAGTCTTTGAGATGAAAGTTATAGTGTAATGTCCTTCCATCCAACAATATGAGTAGTTCAACACGTTGCAATGTGATGGAAAAAGAGAGTCGGAGGACTTGGTTTCTAGTCATGGACGTACTATTTTTATTAATTGCATCTGTTACTTTGGTGCAGTCCTCTGGGCCTCAGGATTCAGATCCATGTTACCAGAGTTCAGCAGACTGAGAGCTAATGATTTCCACTCTACAGTGTATGCATTTAAAAACTCAGCTCCCCTCAGTTGCCCATAGAGTCATAACTTTTTGTGATAGTTTAAAGTAACATTGGGATCATTCTCTTCCAGTTTGCCTCCCCTTGGCTTGTTGATGTCATCACATGCAGAAATAGAAAACTGGTACAAAACCAGTTCTCAGATTCTGTGTGCCAGAATATCTGATGAGCTCATTTATTGCTCTTTTACTTTTGAAGACTGAATATGACTCAAATAGTAGTGACTAACTACTTAAACTTTGGGTCTAGCTGTGGCCTACATTTCCTGTTTCTTTGCTCTTAGTTTTCAATTTTTCCCTGTTTGCTTCATCTTTTAGTTCCATTTCCCTTCTCTATATATAAATTAATATGAGGGCATCCAGAAGTTAGGCAGAAACAAATGGGGCAGCTGGAGCCAGCTTAGGCAACTGTTCTAAAAGCAGTGCCTTGGAAGAAGTGTTGTCTTATGAAGGCATGACTTCTACATGACTCTTTGTATCAGCACATGTGCCACTTCACATCTCTTAAATGGCTCATTGAGGATCTGATCCCATGCCCACTCATTCTGACTCCAGGAAACTGCAGTTAGTAAAGTGTGTATGGTATAGTGAGAAATTCTGGTAATGGGGACTTGACTTCCCAGCCTGTGAAAGGATTCATGGGAATGCAGCTTGTCTCGGGGCTTTTGACAGCGGCCAAGGATCTGGCTGACGCAGAGTGTGAATTAAATGAGACCGGGGAAAGAAGAAAGTATTTCCAGTGGGCAGCCTATTGGGGAATCATAGCCAGCAGAGCCCGAGTCAAAGATGGGGTCTCAGTGGCAACTTACAGCTAAGCCAGTAGTACTCTCTTTCCTGTGTTTTCCTCCAAAGCATCTGAGTGTGCATACTTTCAGGAACTGGATGAGGAAGATAGCCATAGCTGAGGCACAGACTGTAGGGTCAGACAAGTCTGGATTTATGAGAAAGGCAGGTGTTTTGGCTGTGAGCCTTAACAACCAAGTCTGGGTACTCTGCCTTGGGGAAAATGAGGGAGTAGCTTGAAGGGACTCCAAGCAATTCTCTGAACTTATCAAAGAGGCAAGCCTAATTCTGAGACCTAAGCATTAAAGAGATGGCTAGCAGTTCTGAGTATTGCTACTCCTTTAGAGGACCCGAGTTCCTGTCTCAGCACCCATCAGGTGATATATAACTTTTGAAGTGTAACTCCAGTTCCGGGGTATCTGATGCCCTCTTATGGCCTCCACAAGCACCCACCTATATGTGCTATACAAATGCATAGATAAGACGCATATACATAATGCAATGAAACAAACAAAAAAAAACCCTGATCTTTATACCTAGAAAACATGAGAATCAGGGAAGCTCTGCTATATCTGACAGAAACTTCCAGGAAACCCTTTGAATGTTTTCTGCTTTTGTGACATTTTGTTCAAGACCCAGTTCCCATAGAAAGAAATGATCAGTTTGATCTTGCTCTTTTAAGTGTTATGTTGTTAGAAGAGGGGCTGTTGTAAGCGGAGACTGCACTTTAGTTTTCTGGCCTCCTATACCCGAATAATCACACAGAAACTATATTAAGTACAGCATTGTTTGGCCACTAGATCAGACGTATTTCTAGCTAGCTCTTACATCTGAAATTAATCCGTATCTATTAGTCTATGTATTGCCTCATGGCATTACCTCATTTTCTCCATGTCTTGTTTCCTCAGCAACTGACTTGTGTCTGCTTGACTCTTCCTACTCTCTCTCTCTCTCTCTCTCTCTCTCTCTCTGATTGGATTTCGCACCTGACTTTACTCTGCTAAGTCGTTGGACAAAGCAGTTTCTTTATTAACCAATGGTAATAAAACATATTCACAGCATACAGAGGGTAATTCCACATCGTAATGTAATATTTCACATGAAATTGTTTTATGCAAAGGAAACTTGGGTAGCCTTATAGAAACAGGGAGTGAAGGTTGTTGGGCAGAGGAATAGGGGAATGTGATATTTATAAATGAAAAAAAAAATTTCAGAGACTTTGGGCAATACTTCTAGTACCCAAGCTTTGTATTCCAAAACAGAAAGCATAAGCTGATGAAGATGTAACACCCATTTTATGGTTCTTCCTGTTGGAGGTGTAGGAAAGGACAAAGCCTGAAAAGCTGTCAGTACCGGGACCTAGACTGAAGATGGAAAGGACTCCACTCTAGTTTTATGATCTGCATTATTTAGATGGACAACTAGTATGAAGGTATGGTTGGGCCAGGGACAGCCTGTCCGATAAAACTAGGGTACACCAGTCTGTTGACAAATACTGTTTCCTTGGATTTGGTTGTGATAAGTGAATATACTTCCATTTTGTTACTAGCAGCTCTCACTGCTGCCTAAGATTCCATGTCTTACCATGCTAAAGATGGCATCCATCAGTGTTCCTAATACTGATAGTGCTTCCTTGGTTCTCCCATGGATCTGCTTCAGGGTTAGCTGGTAAACATGGCGGCTGGTGAGAAGAGTCTGCTGCAGTGAGTGATCATTCGATAGTAAGGCTCTCTGAGAGTCCACAGACAAGTGGATAGCAGGGAAATCTGAGCGTGACGATAAATCTTCAGTGTTGTTCTTAGCACCCTAGCTTTTCCACAGAGAGAAGCCAAAAGGCTAACTATATATTTAAAAACTAGCCCTGGCCTGGATGTTGGTGTTCTGTACATGGCTTTGATTTTCCAGTGCAGGATGACTTGTTCCTGTATTTGCACATTCAAGTGCATGCACACTGCTGTCTAGAGTTTCAGATCTTTCTAAAACGGATTCACAGAAACATCTAACCTCACCAACCTCTTTATGCCACCTGCCTTCTCTGTGAATGCACTGCTTAGAGCTTTTCAAAGACAGAGGCTTCAGAATTTGGCAGCAAAAAGCATGGCTTCTAACACATTTACGCTGTGGTTGACAGTAGCAGGTATTTAACTCTGCTGTGCCTGGTTGGCCTTGCCATTGTTACATGTGTCATGCTAGCTAACATTTATTTAGGAAATAGGTGCCCACATTTGTATGTTCACAACACACTTGGGGTTTGGGCTATTATCTCTTACATATGCTGTACTTGCCCATGGAAAAGAACCCTCCCCAAGCACACACCTCTAAGTCTGATGTTTAGTACTTCTTGATCTATAATGACTAAAACTGAATTTGAAGCAAATTCTTTTTCATCTTGTTCCAGCTATTAATTTCCAGTACTTTAATTTGTGTTTGAAAGTCAGTTAAAAGTGAAAGTTCTCGATCAAGAGTGATTAATTGGTGGGCTAGGGTGGAAGGCTAAGGCTCTGGCATGGCTTTAAGAGACTATAAAGACCAGGCTGGGATACTCATTGTTGATGGTAATGGCTTTGAAGAGAGCCAGAGGTCAGAACTGGGGCTGGATTTTTAAATCAGGCTCATTTCTCAGTAGCCCAGCCTAGCAGTTGCTGCCCTCCAGGGCGACAGGTCTGACTCTGCAGCTGGAACAGGCACATTTTGGTGGCGTATGGCAAGAACACCAAAGAGAAAACAGAGCAACAAAGCAAAAGGGAGCAGCGGCAGGGGAGGAAACCTCCAGACTGCCTTGCTAGGGATTCTACAGCAAGGCTTTTTTATTTTGTTGGAAGTCCGGATGTTAATTCTTAAGTGTGCAGCCTGTTAAAGACCTGATGACTCAAAGTTTGTCATCTCATGTCGGAGTCTGCTGAGCAAGTAGTGATTAGTTCTGGGAACTGTAATGTGCAGATATGGCAAATAAACAAGGTGTTAGCACTTGCAAAAGCAGAGTGTACATTATGCCTCATTGATATCTTGTAATTCTTCTAATACCCCACTGCTGTTATATATGATGCCTTCCAAAAGAGACTAATTAACTCTTTGAGTAGATAAAAGCAAAAAATGTTAAGTATCTTGAACACAGTTGAGTCTGACGGAAACTTTATTGCTGTGTGCATGGAGAGAAGGGTTCTGACTGGCGTACAGGTGGTCCCCTGTTGTGATGTAATATAAGCTGCCATCCACATTCAGGAGGAGCATCCTAAAATGAGCTCTTCATACCCGAGTCCTTGCTGACATGTTGGGTCTTTGTTGTCTTACTTTATTTTTGTTACCACTGAAATCTCTAAAATGAACTGAAAATCTAGTAGGAAACGGCTGTTGAGTGAGTAAATCCTTGAGTCCTGGGTAGTAGTGGCTGAACCATAATCTACGGGCTGATTGAAGAGAGAGTTATGGAGTGGGAAAAGACAACCCTCCGGTAGAAATGGAGCCAGACTAGGCTAGAGCCAGGCAGAGTTTCAGGAGCCAGCGTGGTAGTGGCAGAAACTTCAGGTGTATGTAGAAGTGTGGACATGGACTGGATGGGGCCAAAGGCAGGAAGAAGTGTGGCTAAGTCTGAATTAATGGTCTTGGATGGGAACTTTGGAACCTTATTTCGATGGCGACTAGGAGCATGTATGTTCTTAGGCGTGAGTACTAGAGGACTCAGCAAGTGTATCCAGAAAGATCTAGGAGGAGGCGGCAGAATGAATGGGCTTGACTGTGAGGAAATGTAGTCTTGGGAATTATGCGTAGTGCTTCCGCTGGATACAGGAAGGTGTTTTGATTTGCGACGCTTTCAGGAAATAGATGTGACAGTGGGGTGATGAATGTAAGAATGTAAATCCACAGACATTTTCCGTAAAGTGTGAGCTTTTGGGGCTCATCGGAAGCATCAGCTCTTTGGGCCAGTCTCCCAAAAGTCTTCCCGTGAGAATAATTGCAGGGAACTCACATGAATACTATGGTCGCACGTGACTGAAGGACGGTAGTTTGCCAACCCCTAAAAAGAGATGGGGAAAGATGTTTAGCTTTAGAGAATAGAGTGCAGATTAGGCAACACACTGGTAACTTTGTAGCCAAAATTTCATTACATCTGTTCTAGACTTCACATCCCTTGGAACAATCTTGCAGTTAGTGATGGTGGCTTCTTTCTGTAGATACCCTCTGTAATCTGCCTTAAACACAAGGTCCTGGTGAGAGCATTACCTACAGTCTTTAAGAGAGTATTCCTCTAGGTGTCTATATATACAGAGTTTTTGCTTTTTTTTCCTCAAACTTCCAATTTTTTTTACTTGTACTATGTGGAGCTAGCTCTTTCTGATGTTGACTTCAGTGTTATTATGGTGAGCCCTGTCAGTCTTGGACTTGGAATGTTTAATTAATATTCATTTATTTTATGATCAGGTCGTGTGTGAGTGGATATATGTGTACCTCATGAGTGAAGCTGCCTGTGGAGGTCAGAAGGGGGCGTCAGATTTCCTGGAACTGAAGTTACTGGCAGTTGTGGGTCCCGCAAATGGAACTGGGGTTCTCTTCAACAGCAGCTGGTGCTCTAAACCACAGAGCCACCCTTTAGCTCCATGGGCTGAGAATTTAAACCACTTTCATCTATATAGATGGGAAGAAGAGGCGGTGATTGCAAGATTCTTACACAGGAAGCAAACTCTAGAATTTGTAAATATTTTTTTGTTTGGATTAAGTTGGTATTGCCAACATTTTTGTTGTTCTGCTTCCTTTTGTAAAAATTCCGAAAAATCCAAAAAAAAAAAACACAAAAAATAAACAAAAAACAAAAAACAAACAAACAAAAAAAAAAAACCCAAAATTCCGAAACCTTATATTTTTGCAATTTTTCAGTTTGTGTGTATGTGTGTGTTTAGGAGTGTGGTATATGTGTGGATGGTGTGTCCACCTATGTATGTCCACATGGTCTAGAAGGGGACACTGGTACCCTGATCACTCCACTCTGGCTTATTCCTTTAAGACAGGCTCTGTCACTGACTCTAGATCTAGACTGGTGGCCACCAAGCCCTGTCTACATCTGCACACCACAGGGGTCACAGGTATGTGTGGCCACACCCAGCTTTTTATTTGGGTGCTAGGATCTAAATTCGCATCCTCATTCTTACACAGCAAGCTCTTATATGTGTGTATGTGTACACAGAGACTTACACATACTCACAAATTGTAGAAATTGGGTTTCTTAGAGGTCATAAAGAGAATAATCAGAAATAATTTATATATACAGTCTTAGAAAATGATACTGCAACTTGAGAAACTTCATCTGGAAAATGCCCCCCCTTTTATTTTCTACTGTTAATCCTCTTATACATCAGAATAACCTTCTATAGAATTTAATTTTAAAGTTTTGTCATTGTGAGAAAGGTCTTGCACATGCCATGCCACATACAGGACAATTCTGTGCTGTTGATGCTCTCCTTTTACCTTTGTGTAGATGCTGAGGAGGGAACTCTGCTTGGCAGTTTTTCAGGGCAAACACTTTCACCCAGTGAGCCATCTTGCCAGCTCCAAATTGGCTTCATGAGGAATTGTTGTTCATTTTCACATTTTGGTTGGACTCTGAAAAGAAAGGTTTTCCCTCAAAGGGTGACACAGAATGTGTATATGATCTTGCCACTCTCTACACCATGGCCTAGCTATGGCCAAGTAAAGATTGGTGAAATCAATGTCAGCCTCTGCAGCTTCTGTTGCTTCTTGTTTCTGTTGAAAATACTTCACCTCACTTCACAGATACCTTTGTTTTTAGCTCAGTAATAGGGACTGACTGTAGATTGGAGGATAGTCACTCTACCTGGAGAGATGGCAGGCAGATAGGTTAGGTGGCAGCTTGGTGAATACTCACTGCACTTGGCTCCTTTGACTTCTTTCTGCTGGACAACATCCCATCCAGCTTTTGTCTAGGCAACCACATTACATCAGGGACATGGAGCAGTTTTCTCCCTTCTTAGTTCGAAGAACACTTTGTTTCTCCACTGCATGGCCTGTCTTCCCTTCTTGTCCATAAGTGCTCTAGGCTCCCAGAGCAGTAGCCAGGGCCTTGTGCACTCTGGGCACACTGCTGAGGGACTGAGAGGTTTTGAGCAGAATGCAGAGCTTGCCCTAGTAACCTGTGGGCTGAGCACACAAAGTGGTGTTTACTGCAGAAGTAACCCATGGACCTAGCGCACCAAAGGGCATTTACTGAAGAAGCAAATGCGTGTGTGAAGAGGAGAAGACAGTGAGCACTTTGGCCTCATTGTGTAGAATGTGTTCCAAGCCTGAGCTCCACCACCATCCCCTGTTCCTCTTGGGAATCCACTGCCACAGAACTGAACTCACAATAATAGGCTGGTGAGACATGATTTACTGTTTCCTAAGAGCTGGGTGTGTGTTTGGTAACTGGCTTGTTGGGGAGGGGGGCTCTACAGATGCACAGAGCCGGAGGCCTCACTGCACTGGAATCTGATAGTTCCCTTGTTCTTCTTTCTTTACGGCTACCGAGGCCATAAAATCAGAGCTAGCATTGCTCATTCACACCCAGGATGGAGCAGGAGAATGAGAAAGCAACTGGTTCAAGTGCCCCACAGCCCACTCAGGTTGTCTGGACTCTAAGCAAAGAACAAATGGAAGAGGAGATTGAGGGACAAACAAGAAGAATAATGGATTCTAAGAGATACCAAGACGAAGACTTTGTATATAAAAAGGGATTTGAGAAGAATGGAAATTTCCCTGAAGGTGGAAATGAAGAGAATAAAAGTAGTTGTGGGTTGAAAAATTACCTATAAATTATGCTTAACTAACTTACTGAATAAGTATAAATCATAGTTACATAAAATCATTTTATTTCATTATGCTAATGTTGATAAATTTTAATTTTCAGGTATACATGCCTAAAGACCTCAAGGCTTTTAAACACACAATAATGAAAAAGCTAATTAATCACTTATGGGCAGCATTCCCAAGTAACTATAGAAACAATTGCAATTAAGAAATAATGCCCTATCCACAAAGAATAAAAATACATGCCCAGATAGGAAACTTCATTATAAGCTACAAAGAAAAACCAGAAGGATTTTGTTTCCTACATTATCTAATATTTCTAAGTGTGTTTTGGGGGAAGGGAAAACAAAAGTGAGGAGCTCGCCCATATGGATTGTAGGATGTGTTCCAAATCTGAGTTCTACCATTACCCTCTTGTCCACAGGAGCTGACTCACAAAATAAATAATTGGTTGATAAGACGTGATTGACTACAGCAGAGAGTCATTTCAGAGGCCTATATCCCTAAATGACTTTTTGTCTATCCTATTAAATCTTTGGTCTTTGCAGACCATCAGATCTTTGTTCATGCATGTTATTTTAACTGTCTTTTTGATCCTCAAGATAAGACAAACAGGGTTGTCATTTCAAGTGTTGATTGAGAACCATAAATAAAATAGGGCTAGGTCAGGGCCAGACATAATGCAGGGGACGTGTGGCCAAGCATATATGTTCATCAGTCAGATCCTTCGCATCTCTTAGTTCAAGAGTTTCAGAAACCAAGCCCTCTATTCATTTTGTGTTGATGCCATAAGGCTAATTCTGCCATAAGGAATAGTAAAAGTAAACTATTAACACTCTTTAGTTTTAATAGTCATAATACCAACTAAAGTAAGAAGTGAAAGGGGAGGGGACTTGATTGATTTCATAAACAGAAAGCCCATGGTGTTAGTTTGTTCAGGGTGTAGCTGAATCCATTCCACACAGCTAAATCGCAGCAGAGTGGATGCTGTACTTTACCTTAGGCCCTTTCACTCCCAGCAGAGTTCTCTGTCTATTATATTGTGCTACCCTTACACTAGTACAATCAATATCAGAGGAATTAAAAGTGAAGTGGAACAAGAGCATGCCTCAGCCTGGGTTCCCAGTGATCATTTATGCTGATTTTACCTCTTATGACCTGCACATTCCACACTCCTTACAGAAGCTAACAAATGCCTGTGGGCTCCTTCATTAAAAAGTAGATCATTGCTTTGTACCCACTGTGCCTTCAGCTGAGGACGCCAAACCATGTGTTCATTCCTTCACCTGTGCATACTAAAGACATGACTTTGTACTTCCTGGGCTACAGATACTGTGCTAATTTTGGGAAGCAGATGTAAGGGACACACAACTGCATATAAAAATGGCCAAGCAGGGCACATAGCAAATATATTGTTTCATTTCATTTTTTTTAAGGAATGCATAGCTCCATTTGTTCATTCTTTTCAGCAGTAAATAAAAGTTCTACACTTAGTAGCCAGTAGGAGGCATATTATGCATCAATGTTGGGCATAAAACATCACTTGTCGAGATGTGGAGAACTGCAGACAGTTGAGTGTGGCAGGGGCTTCACTTGGGAAGTCTCAGAAGGTAGCCTGATCCAGCCTCGGTCCTTCTGGGATTCTCAAAGGCTTGAATCATCATCACCCTTCAGTGTTAATTCTCTAGTTGTAGCTATGTAGGTTGGGTTACTAAAAGCAGGGGTTGGAGCCTCAGAAGTCAAAGATTTTGGGAACATTTCCTGGACAAGGATGGAGACTAGTAGGCTATTACTATGGAACTAGGCTCAGGAGGCAGAGGTCAGAATGGGGTAGAATAAATGATTTACTTAGTAAGGGAAGGAGTAGAATCCAGGAAAGTTCTGGGTGCCAGGGTGGGCAGGAAAGTTATTAGCTAAGACTGATACTCAGGAAAGGAGTAAAACTTGTCCTTGCGTTTGCATTTCTTACTGGGAGCGGTGCCCAACTCAGAGGAAGGCTTCCATAAATAGCAGTTGGTAGTTATCAGATATTATAAAACAAGTAGTTAATGGGAATCCAAACTAATCCAGAAAATCATTGAAGAACATTGAAGACCCCCAAGAAGTACCATTTAGCAGAGGGTTGAAGAATGTCTTAAAATTAGTCAAGGAAGATAAAATACGTTCATTTGTGACTAAAACGCTACCCATGATGCACCTATCTTATTCTCAGTGCTGCGTCCCCCAATCTCTTCCTGGCTTTTCCTCTTGGCCGTCTGCTCCAGAACCTCTTCAGTATCAGGGAGGCAGTGGGTTGAGATTGTCATGGTAACTACTGTTGAGTACCCATTTGTGTTTACCAGCCTCTTTTGCAGCTCTCAAGCACGGAAAATGAACACTAAGTCCTTGGAGTAAGTTGTTTCAGTCAGGACTTAGGTCCTGGGCAGAGACCTGCTGGCTTTCCAGAGGGTGGAAGGCTTTCCATGCTACTACACATTCTAAATGTTCCAAACTAATTTTTTTTTCAGATTAAAAAAAAATGTTTTTGTCTGGAGAGATGACACAGTGGTTAGTACTTGCTGTTCTTACAGAGGCCCCAAGTCTGGTTCTTAGCACTCATATGTCTCATAATCCCCTATAACTCAAGTTTAAGGGAATCTGAAACTGATGGGTCTCCACAGGTACCAGAAACTCACATGGTGCACATTCATATATCTAGCCAAAACACGCATACACATGAGATTAAAGTTTTCTGAATGTTTACTAGTCAAGGTAAAATCTGTTGTATCCCTTCACGTGGTCATCCGCCTGCTCTCATGGCACACAAGCTTTGAGAGTGATTATAGAAGAACATAAACAACATCATAGAAAACAGAAGATGGATGTGCAAATCAGGAAAGAAAAATATGAATGATAAAGGGAATTTAGGAATGTCCTAGGATTGCTGTGACTTTAAAAATCGTTCTTTGTGGTGCAAATTCACAAACTATCCAGCCACTCTCAAATGAAGCAGAAGTAGTCTGCTAGCCTCTAGTTAAAATAGATTGCATGGCTGAAATCCTTCTCAACCAAGTCCACATTCTTTAATAGAAGGAAATGCATGCTGGAGGAAGAGAGAGAGAGAGAGAGAGAGACAGAGAGACAGAGAGAGAGAGAAGAAGAAGGAGGAGGAGGAGGAGGAGGAGGAGGAGGAGGAGGAGAAGGAGAAGGAGGAGGAAGAGGAGAGGGAAGGAGGGAGGGAGAGGGAAAAGTGTACTTCTCTCCGATGTGGGTTGCTGAGTCTGTAATAGTAACTGGAGATTGCATAGTTTTATCTGAGAGGCTTGGTGGCACTGAAAACTCGAAGCATGTATGAAAATTTGCTGTAAATGTGTTAAGGTATGAATTTTAAATCTGGAAATTTTGGGCTTAGAGAATCACTTGCCATTTGGATAAATCTCTTCTTACTGAAACACAAAGGAAAGAAAGTGCCATTTTGCAAAGTTGCTTTGCTGTGAGCAGCTCTGCCTGACACTACCTCCAACCACTGCAGCCCATTGCAGCATGCCTGTGGGGATTCTCACAAGAGGCACTGTGGACATCATTAGCCCCCCCATTCTCTAGTATGCTTGGGAATGAAATAATTTGCAACTATAGAACTTAAGGATATGAATTTACCTGGCAGTAATAATAGTAACTTTTGTGATACTTAGGTGTAATAATACTCAGGATGCAAATGATAGACAGTAAGAGAGGGGTACTCAGGACAGGTGAGGCCCACTCAGGAATTGCTCACGGAGTGAAATACTCACATGCAAAGACTCAGGCAGGAGCGTTGGTATTGGCATCTCTTGGGAGAGCGCCAGGGAAACCTGAGTCAGCGTTGGATTTTGTTTGTGCTTTCTACAGTGACAATTTTGTGAATTTGTTCAGTTTTACACACCTGTGGCATTTTAAATTTAATGTATAGTTTAGCACACCATTTTCAAATTAAAAAATAGTAACAAAAATATCTGTATAGTAGATTTGTATTCAGTAGCTTGCGTGGTATTAATTACATTTGGCACGGCATTCAGCTTGGAGATGCACAGCCTTATGTATGTAATTTAGTTTGCTGTCTGTGTTAGTCTGGGTAATTAAGCATGAGCCGCGGTGGCAGGAAAAACACAAACTTCTCAGAATCCCAGTCACTTAGCACAACAAATGTGTGTGCCCTGCTCTTGAAAA